CGTTTAGAGAGCATAACGAGAGAAAAGATTTGAAGGAAACACGCACACGCACGCACACACACACCTCACAGGCGCGCACACGCAGCACACTACACAGGCGCGCACACACGCACACACACGCACACACACAGCAGACACAAACATACACACAAACTCACAGAGATGCAGAAGCCAAAGATCTTTTATTGAGCGTGGAGCAAACGAACGCTCGCGACGACAGCAGCGCCCTCTTTGGCGAAAAATTTAAAAATTCGATAAATAAAAACGTCATCATCAGCAGCAGCAGCAGCAGCAGCAGCAACAACAACAACAACAACAACAACAACAACAACAACAACAACAACAATAAAACGTCCAAAAACAAAAAACGAAATAGTCCGTATCAGTCTGTTAAACAATCTGCAGCCACAAACGCTACTACAGCCACGATAGCTGCAACAGCCACTAGCAATATGGCAGTTGATGTAGCTGCCACAACAGCTGCTGGAATAGTCGCAACAACAGCTGCGGCAGTTGCGATTGAAAACGACAGAAATTATGGTGGTGATGATGATGATGATGAGCCGGATGGTGTTAGTGGATTGAGAGATGGTGAGAGTTTTTTTATTATTTTGCCATAATTTAATATAATATAATATTATATAATATTATAATTTTTTCTACACCAACACAAAGAAGCAGAGAGTCTGAGCTATTACAGAAGGAGCTGCCAAACAACCCTAACCCCGCCATCATCATCATCAGCAGCATCACCTTCATTATCATCATCATTACGTCATCATTATCATCATCATCCTTTTCCGGTTTGCCATCATCACCATCATTATCGTCAGAGTAATGACGACGACGACGATGATGATGGTGATAATCCTTGTAAAGATATTGCAACTCCTCCAAAAAATGTGAATGCTTTTACTACTACAGCCACTGCAGCAACAGCCACTACTACAACAGCCACTACTACTATTACTACTATCACTACAACCATTACTACTACTACTACTACTAACATGACTACTACAACCACTACCACTACTACAACTACTACTACTAGCACGCCACAATGTTTAAATTACGCTTGTTCAACGCCTACAATGAAACATCATCAGCTTCAACAGCCACAACATTACGGCGACTACTACGACTACTACAACAACTACAACTACTACTACAACTACTACTACGGCAGCGGTAATAGTAGTAGTGGTATCAACAACAACAACAACAATAATGAATTACCAGGTGACGATCATACAAGCAGCTACTACTACAATTGTTACAACAAAGGCAGCCGTGACAGCTACTTTTATTACTACCAACAGCAGCAACAGCAGCAGTTGCTACAGCAGCAGCAGCAAAGTCATCAACAACAACATCATAAATCTCTCCACCACAACCAACATCAACAACAAATTTACAACTACGCCAACTTATACTACAACCCTATAAACGTTTACAACATGCCAAGCAACAACAACAACAACAACAACAACAACAACAACAACAACGTCAACAACAACACAGATCCATACGCCTGTGATTACTACGGTCGCAGTGCCACTGCTGCAACAACTACAAAACCGAATTATGAAGAAAATGTTTGCTTAAGTCCTTGGCCTGCAACATTAACAACAACAGCAATAACAACAACAACATCAACATTAACATTCACATCATCGTCGCTTCAACAAAAACATCATCAACAACTACAACAGCAAACGTTTGAAACTATATCTCAACAACATCAACCGCAACAACAACATCAATATGAATCCCCTGGTCTTTTAACATTATCAGATACAACCGAAAGCAACAACAACACAAAAAACAACAACAACAACATATCTCACTATTATAGTTACTGCGATCAGCAAAAATATCAACAAAAATACGGCAACAATTACAGACAACAACAACAACAACAACAACAACATCAACAACATCAACATCAGAAACAACAACATCATCAACAACAACAACAGCACGGTTATACAAGTGTAATAGTTGACACACAGCAGTTCAAATTATCCAATTCTTATGCTTAAAATAAATAAAATTGTTCTATAATAATAATAATAAAAAGAATTATTATAATTATTAATGTTATAACTAATATTAATTATTATTAATGTTATAGCTAATATTAATTCTTGCAAACAGACTAAAATATTTAGTCATTCATAATATTTTATTATAGCTAACAATTATATATCTACAGCGTATCATAATTATTATTTATTCGGGACCATTAAATTTCATATCTTTGAACACTTACTTATACGTACACACACACACACACACACACACACACACACACACACACACACACACACACACACAAACACACATAAACACACACGCACACATACAAACAAACACACACACATTTTTATTTAATACTCAAAATTAGTTTGGCCGCTGACACCTACCTACGAACAAAAAATAAAATTTTAAATAATTTTATTTCGCCAACGTTCTACAAGTTTTTCTATTCATAATT